GTAATTTGTAAAATCGAATCATAATGTTATGTGTATATCTGTAACACCTTGTATTAGAGATGCTAACACATTGAATTAATAACGTTTGAAATATATGTCGTTTATTTTTTATACTTTTAACACATTTTCCATTATTTTATTTTCAGGCTCACATGATTCTTTATTAAGAAGTGCAGGCATCACACAATACACGCACTTAACGCCCAAAGCTAAATCGTTATACAAACGCGCGCGATCGTTACAGAGTAAAGTTTCCGTATACAAAAATAGGTCCTTCAAAAGTAGATTACATTTAGCCGGGAAAGAACTTAGAATTTTCAATTCGGGAATCAAAAACGAAGCAGTAGATTTTTGCATATCTCAATTAACGCGTAAGAATGTGAAACCTAGAGGCCGTAGATTCACGTTCAATGAAAAAGTATTAAGTTTAGCTATTTATAAAGCTTCCGGTCCCGCGTATAGATTTTTGAGTCAATTATATAACTTACATTCGAAGACCACATTATGTAGACTATTAAATAGAGTTCCAATTTGCTCGGGTATTAACGATGTTACTATTAATAATATTTTGGCCGCGATAAAGACATTTAAACAGAAAGATAGATTTTGTTCCATATTATTTGATGAAATGGCGTTGACTCCGCGTGTAGAGTATGACGCACTGCATGATCGTTTACAGGGAGTTGAGGCAGGACAAACTCGTCGACCATATAAGATTGGTTTTCATGCTAAGAGGAGTGTCAAAAAAATGGAAGCAGACGATCTGCTATACATTCAGTAAAGGCCCTGCAAAATCTGAGAACATAAAACGATTGCTCAAGGAAATTATTGAAAAACTAAATGGCTCACATGGTGTGTATTTCGTTTACTTTTAACTACATTCTTACTTCCAATATGTAATCCAAGAATTTAATATGCATTACCCATTATTTAATTTATTCTTATGTACATGTATACATAAGAATATACTATTCACTTTTTACTTTTTTCTTACTCTTACTTCTTCTTACTTATTTCTTACTTATTACTTTACTTATTACTTGTACAACTCACTACTTACTTATTGTATTTCATGTATTTCTAGAATTATTTTATACATTTTCAATGCTTGTCTCGTGAAGTAGATTAAATTCTTGGATATTTTATAATTCCTACAAATTAGAATCTCTTTCAGACATTGAAATCACGGACTGTACTCTGAGGATACTACTGCTGAGTATTCGTGAGATGTACTTCCTTTTATTAATAGATCACATTTCACACATGTTTCATTTCTTATTTGCAGGTTTCAAAATAGTAGCAATAGTGTGTGATCAGGGCTCGAACAGACAAATATACCTAAGAAACGAACAAGAACCCCGTCGCCGTATTTTAATTGCTAATTCGGAGATTGTGCCTCTATACGACGTGCCGCACCTATTAAAAGGAATCAGAAACAATTTATTAAAAAAGAATTTAATATGGATCACACACGAAGGACGGGTTGAGGCGAAATGGGACGACGTTGTAACGGCATACAAGATTGATTTATCCAGTGGACGCCTTAGACGTCTACCACGAATAACGGAGGGCCACGTTATTCCGGATAAAATAAATAAAATGAAAGTTATACACGCGGCACGTATATTGAGTTATTCAATGGCCCTGGCCATTACTTATATGGCTCAACATAGTAAGTATGAAGATTGTTAATAATGCAATTTAAAATTTTACATATAAGGTTGTACTAATACAATTGTACAATTTTTTCTAGACGAATCGGACAGTAGCGGATTATACACAATGAGGACAACAGCTTTCGGGACGGGGGAGATTATTAACTTCTTCGACGAATTGTTTGACAGCATCAATGGAAATACTTTAAGGGATCCAAGAGGTAAGGTTTTGCGAGGAGGAGTTACAAAAATTTATCCTCACCTTTCTTCTTGGGTACAATCTGTACGCGCCTTGAAGAACATGTTTTTTTAAGAGGAAGGTACGGAACAACGACCTGTTCCTCCCTCTTTAAAAAATTTTATTCATACAGTAGAAGGGTTTATTTGTATTCGAGATATCTTATTTAATGCTAATTTTAATTATTTTTTTCCGCGATCTTTTAATCAGGATTCATTAGAAAATTTTTTCGGGCAAATTGGACAACACCGAGTTCACGCGAATATTCTAAGTTCGAGACAATTTGAGGAATCGTATAGAGCATTGTTAATTCGTCACTTTGCGTACAGTTCAAATTCCATCGCGTCTAATTGTAAAGACACCTTCGAGTCGTCGTTAGTACAGTTTAAAAATTTGTTCAATGTAGAGTCACCGCGAAATGTAGAGCCACGGGAGTTTGTACAAAATAACGAAATTCATAAAATTATACAGCGTAGAAATCTTCAATTGAAGAGATCTATCCCAAAATTTGTATTTGATAATTTTTCAAAATTTATTATCGACAAGATTTCCAATAAGTATAAATGTAAATTTTGCAAGATTCATATTCTTCAACCCGCTACTGTCAATTCGCCGCTACTGTCTTGTGGCTTTGACTATGTCCACGGTTGCGAAGCGCTGTTTTATACCTGGTTTTTGACCCGCCCTTTATTGGTCCCGTGTCGTGACTCTTTGTTCTTGGTGGGGTGAAGCTTTTGGCATGCGCCATCACGTGTTCTCTTTTGTCCGTTTGATTTCTGTGTCTTGATTGGCGATGTTTCCTTGATTGCTCCGCCCTAGCGAGTTTCTCGTCTGCTGATTGGCACGTTCCGTATTTCCGTGTTTGAGGAGTGGGGATTTCCAGTCTCTTGCTTTTTGGTGTATTGGTGTTTTCCCTATTTCTCGCTATGGACGTTTTTAGGATTTTTGTTCTTAGTTTTATTATTGTTTGTTGTTTTTGTTATTACTGTTATTTAGTTACCATTATCATTACTTGTTATTGTTTTTATGTATACATGCATCGTTGTTATTTGCGTAAGGTTCCAGAATGCGGATTGGCAAGGGGCTTTTTGGATTTTGTCGTGAGATCGCTTCGTGTTGGGTCCTATTTGGTCGTTATCTCGGGACGTCTTTGTGTAAGTGATCGTTGTCTGGAGATGTATGAGATAAGCACGGAGGATGTTTTGGCAGCGGGAGTTCTCCTGGTGGTATACTTTGTATCGTTGGTTCTTTTCCTATTGTGTCGTCTGGGCCGGTTTAATTAGTCTGATTGTAACTCTGAGAATCTTCGATGGGTCTTGTGTCATTGATGTGTAGTTTCCCATGCATCTTGTGTTTCGTTTGTGGAACCGTTTGGGTGTCCGGGTGCGAGTCGGCTAGATGCAAGGGGTTTATCTGAGTTCGGATGAATTGGTATTTTAGATTAGACTCGCTGGTTCGTCGTTATCATTATGAATTTCGGGCCGAGTCTTTTCTTATTAATATTACGTGGATTTATTTATTATTATACGTTAATAGGTGTTTGAGTGATATGTTCCTCTTTTTTTATTGTGTACGTGTTTGTTTTCATATGAGTGTTGTTTTCTTGTTCGTGACTAGTTTTTGAGCGGGGAATTTTTATGTTCTTTTTGGATGGATTTCTTCTCGCGGCTTTTGAATTTTAGAGTGTTGATCAGTTCTAAAAAGATCGTGTATTCTTACTCTGCGTGGGAAATTTGGTAGGAGGTTTTTGATATGTTTGATCGGTGTGGTGGTTTTAATGTGTGACTACATGTGCTAGTCAACGCGGCGTTGGTCATCCGTCCTTGTCTGTGTGTTCTTATGGGCTGTGATTGGTCCGTGGATCTGACGTTGGAGGGGGCGTATGAGGTGGAGGTCTGATTTGGATCGTACGGTTGTTCAGTTTGCTTCAGTCAGTCTATTAGCGTATTGATCTTTCTCCTTTTTATATTCTGTTTCTACTTCGAAAATATGCAAGACCTGGATGATTATTTTTCATTGGTACGTGTGTTTCGATTTGTCATCTATACCTTTTTGGTGTTGTTTCATTCTTTCGATTTTTGAGTTTTTTAAGTGCACGAGGTTTTTCAGTTCATGCGGGTATTTGTCAGATTTTTGATGTCGTGTAGTATGGTTTTTCTTTTTGTATCTTTTGTATATATACAAATTTTGGCGTTCTGGTTTTTTGTGGTGTCTTAAAATTCGGGTCGTGAGGCCCACTTCTCTCTCTCTTTTTTAATTATGGATGGTCGTCAATTATATTGTATATTTTAAGAGTTTTTGATTTGATTCTTATAGTTTTGTGTGATAGAGTCTCGAGGTAGTGGTCTATGTAAGGCTTGATACCGCTTTCTGATGTAGTATATCCTGATTTTTGTAACCTTGTTTTTGTCCTTGTTTTACCACTTATGCTCGTGTTTGTCGCTTTTTACATCACTCTTCTTTTTCCATTTTCATGTCAGTGGTTTTGCATGTGCGTGTTTATAGCTTCGTTGGGTTGGCCTTTAGTGGTATTATTTTATTTTATTTCGTTTTTATTTGCAGGTTGCGTTGGTCCCGATGGACGATTCGCGCCTAGGGACCTTAGATGGGGTACGGGTTACCATCGTCCCAGAGGGCTATCCCATACGGGTTCTAGACAGTGAGGAGTGCGGGGTACTTAGATCCCGCATTCG